ATACATATTTGGCAGCACTTAAAAACATTTTTCTGCTCATCTCATGTGGAAAAAAAAATAAAAAAAATAGCCGTTCTGCATTGTCTTGGCATTTTATTTTTAACCAATATCAACAACAGTCAGTAGAAAGTGTTTTGAAGAAGTAGAAAGATCTCTCTTCCTTAAAAATGTGAAGACTTCAATGCATGCAGCCTCTGCTCAGCAAGTCTCACAACTTTTATTATCCCTCATGTTTGGGCGTAATTACTCAGAAACTCCATGCTTGCACCTGAAGCATAAAGATCCAAACAGCTGCATTTTCTATGTAATCTGAAAAGGTGATCTAAGTTCAAACACATGTCAGAATTTGACCGTTTTATTGGCTACTAAAGAAGCAGGATGTACATTTCACCCGTGTTGTTATAGTGAAAGCATAAACCTTTGCCTTCCTGCACTTTTATTAAACATTAAACTCAGCCCTGTGTGTGACACCGCGTTACGCCCCGGCTTCCTTTATTTGAAGAATAAATGTAGAAATCGATATTTGTTTTAATAGATATCCAGGAAATGTGACACCGACATTCAGAAGTCTGCAGACCTTTATTTGGACATCGGTTGAGTGCTGCTTTCACTTCCTCAAATTCAGACAATTTTGCTGAATTTGAGTCAGGGTTGTGTGTGCTTATAATAATAGGTCTGGTTTTGCTCCAATTGAGAAGAATCGGTTTCAATATAACCGTGCGGTTGTTTGCCTTTTTATTACAGGTTTGCAAACTTCTGTTCTTTTTTTGATGTGAAAATCAGTCTTTGTCAAAGAAGTCTTCTAAATTATTTGTTTACATTTGTTAAAACTGTAGCAGTGTACAATAAATGTGCATGTCATGATCAACCCAAAGACACAAATGAATAGTTTGACATCCCTTAAAAGCTGAAAAGACACAATTGCTGTTCTTCCATTAATAGTTCAAATCTGACACTAATCTGTTGTTTAGTAATGTAACACAGCAGCTTTTTTTTTTTTTTGTCAATCTGAATATCAGACGATGACACGCATGGTGAGAACTAATACTGTGAGACTTGGCATGAAAAAAAAAAAAGAAAAAAGAAAAAAACTCGGTTTCCCAGCCTCATTCGCTGTCATGGCATCATCAGTCAACCAATGAAACTGTCCCGCAGAGACATCTTCCTATTTGGTGGTGTGAAGTTGAAGAGGCTGTCGCATGAATTACTGTCACAAAACACAGCGAGTCACAGAGTTGAGGACGGCTGCTGGAAATGGGTGAGTGGTGACTTGATCACTATTTACTTTACAGCACACACGTCACTTATATGTGTAAATAATTTGAAATGTTAGACGGAGGTAGAGTAGTTCAGTAGCGTGTCATGGTAAATTTGCTAAATGGTACAAGTATTGTGTGTATTTATATATCTATATATGTGTGTGTATATATATGTATGCAAACTGAACAATATATATATATATATATATATATATATATATATATATATATATATATATATATATATATATATATATGTAAAAATACATACATAGAGCTGGTTTTATACTTTCACACTTCACTCATTTTCTATAATGTTGATTTTACAAAAAAAAAAAAAATTCCCCATGTATTTTAATTTGAATATAAAATGTTAAAGTTAGTCTGATTACAATGATTCAAACGGTCCAGTAAAAAGTCAGGCTTGAAGTTGATCATGTAATTCGGCGAGTTGTGAAATGTTGTATTAAGAATATTTCTTCATCACCTAAAATGGAGAAGTAAGAGGCTACTGAAAGCAGAATTAAAGGTTTAAGCCACAAGCACAGGAAACAAGTGATCTGAAAAGAGAAGCATATTGGTTTTGTCTTGAAGAAGAAAAAAAAAACTGATATCACTGTGGGTGGAGGGCTCACAGGGTGTCGAGGTGCTGGCTGGTGAAGAGTGGCATCTCTTTCTCAGAACTGCGTCTCGCTCCCAGGCTGTTGATTTCTCCTCTTTAAGAGTTTGTGTTTCAGTTTCCCCTAAAACGTTAGCGACGCTGGATTCTTCCGATGGGAGCGAGTTCATTCTCAAAAGACAAGGGTCTAACTTTATAGGACAATAAAACAGTTGTATATCACAGATAGCTTACCGCATTGTTCACGTCTCTTCTCTTGTGACCAAAATACAGAAGATAATTAAGATAATGACCAAACATTATAATGTATTTTTGGATTTCTCCATTTCCAGATTGCTGTCGTTCTTAGTTACAATACCATACAGTGCAGCATTGAACCGGTGGTGTTCTTGAGCAGGAAGTGGTTTTGCAACCTGTGGTTTTATATCACACTCTGTCAACAATATGCTCTACAGATTACTTCTTGTGTATCTGTGTGTGTGTGTATGTCGATCAGTCACCTGACCATTGACGCGCACACACGTTGATTTCGAATCTTTTCTTAATTAGAAGCCTTCTCGAAATGAAGAAGTGCTCGCTTCTTTGAATTCAGATTCACAGTTAGGTGACTTCTCCTTCCTTTGTGTTTGTGTGTGTGTGTGTGTGCGGTGTAGCTGAAGAGGACCAGAGCGAGGCATCACAACAAACAGCTGGGAGCGATGAAGACAAGGCGAGAGCGAAACAGGTACCAGAAATAAAATGTAAAAAAAATTTTTAAAAAGCCCCTGTCAGTTGGTCCTCTGGACAGTTTCCTGCAGTTACAGTTAATTTGTCACTACAGACATGACTGCTCAGAATGTGTTATCTGTTGTGTTTTCATTTCCCCTTTTTGCTCGATTTAAGTAGCCGTTTGATGGACTGATTGTGTGTGTGTGGGTGTGTGTGGGTGTACAGTTGTTTCATGTTTTTTTTTTTGACTGATTGTGAAATGAGTACAAGGAACATGCTTCTGCTTTGTATTCTAAGAAGAATCAACAAAAAAGAAAGCGAGGGAGAGAGGCAGAAAGAGAAGGAGAAAGAGAGAGAGAGGGAGGGAGAGAGAGAGAGAAAAAAAACACACACACTTGCAATATTTTATTGCGCATAAAGAAACTCAACGCCGCTGTTCTGGTAACTGAAGTGAGAGGTACAATATGAGAAGCATAAATTAGCTCATCAAATTTCCAAGGCCAAGTCGAGTTGAAAGCCCGGCGGTTTCTGCGGTGACTTCTGCCCTCCAGATAGCATCGATCCTGAGCGCCGATCACAGTCATCGTGAGAATCGCAAACACAACTCACTGACATCATCACCCACACACTTTTCCAAAAAATTTGATCAGTGAAAAATCAAACGAGCGTTTCACAATGATATTCTTTCTCAGCGGTGTGGACCGAGAGCTGCGAGAAGAAAAGAAGAAGAAGAAGAAGAAAAAAAAAAAAAGGGGGGGGGGCTACAGTATGTGGCTCCTAGCACAGACATTTCCTGTAGGCAACCGTCGATGCATAAACCCGAAACTTTTGTGAATCAGATCGAGAAAACAATGGTTGAAAGTAAAGCAGGCCCCTTTGTGAGTGTAGGTGAATTTCACGCAGGTTTCTAATCAGATTTTTTTTTTGTTTGTGCCGGAAAAAAAGTATCCTCTTTTCTTGTTTTTTTTTTTTTTAAACTCTCGATTCAGTGTCCTGAAAGCTTTAGCTAAACCCTAAGGTGGTTTGTAAAGTCTCCTTTTTTTTTGTTTTGTTTTATGATCGCGAACGTTTTCACAACAACAGTGGAAAAGTCAGAGCTGCTCCCCGTTTAGCTGGGAACACCGACGTCGGCCGCTGCGCTGTGACTCAGTCGGGACTGTCTTAGTTAGAGCTCTGCACCTTCACTATTACTCACTCTAGAGGTTTGCTTCTCGGAACCAGGAACCACATAGAGGAACTTGATTCAATATGAAACCGCCTCTCGCTGTTTTGTTGTACAATGAGCGCCGCAGAAATAGCAGCTTCTGGGCCTGATGAGTCAAAGTAAAATATTGACGATCCAATCTGGTGAAATTTGATCGGGGAAGCGGCGATGTGAGAGTTTACATTTGAATATGAAGCGTGAATTTTTCAAATCCTTTGATTTCACTTCAAGTGACAGTATTTTTGTGGATGTGAGGCAGGCAGAGGTGTAACCTGTTTTGTGCGCTGAGTGTGAGAAGATGGTGAAAATATCTCAGCGGGTTTATTTGTAGCTGGGGATTCTGGTATGTGGTTCTAATTTCAAAATTGCAAAATAATAATAATAATAATAACTCTCCAGAGACCTGCTGATTGTTTGAGTCGGGTGTGTTGAAGAAAAGACATCTCAAGAGTTGCAGGACACTAGAACTGGAGTACTGTAGCGCCTCCCTGGCCCCGAGCTGACCGGAAGAAAACAAACATTATTTCCCAGACTTGCAATCCACCACAAATTCTTCCTTTTAGAAATATCCTAGGTTGAGAAAAAGGCAGACGGTGATGGCATGAAACCAAAAAAACCTCAGTCTTCCTGCTGCACATTTGCCTCGAGTTTCAGTGTTGTAGGACGACACGCTGCCTTCCTGAGCTCTTAACGCTGAAGCACACGTCATTCGACCAGCCATTTCAAAGCTGTCACGGTTTTCGGACCGTCGGCGCGTCCTGCAGCATGTCCGCCAAATGTTACGACGATTTCCCCCACAACCGTTACTAAAATATCGCATGTAGCCTACAATAGGAAAGCTTAATCTCATCCAACTGTCCATTTGGAGATGTGGAAAAAGACTTGATGCGATCTCACAGCACACATCTGGTCCTGATGCAGCAGACCACTGTAGGATGTTATTTTTCCAGCAGTAGAAACAGTTGCTGTTTTTCTTCTTTTAAATTATTGTTTAATGCAAAGCAATTAGATCATGTTACATATTTTTATTGTAAACTGAAATGATACTGCTGGGTTTTTTTTTTTTTTTTTTTTTTTTGGGGGTAACCAAGAAAACCCCCAAAAACATCAAATACAAACTGATTATTAAGTGGTTCCGCCCGTAGTGCAACAGCTTTTTAATCGTCTTTCGCTTAGTGATGTTCTTCGTTAGATACTCTCCCATATCTAATTTAAAAAAGTGATTGTTTTTCAAAACGTCACCGATGAGGCAAATCATGCATCTTCGTTTTAAAGAGGCTTACAGAGAAAAACATGCAAGGCTGTGTGGAGATGTCGCTCAAGAGTGGGTGGTTTGGTGGTTGCTGACAAGAAACTGAACCTCAAAAGGAGAAGAGCCAAACCAATCAAGATGACTTTACCGTACGCAGGAGCAGAATTTAGAGAGTCCGTTGGAATTTTTTGCAATCGAGTTTGCTCTAATTATTCTTTCATGTCAGCGGCTGCTCGCCCTGGCGCTTCTCTGACAGCAGGAATGGCGTGTATGTATGTGATCAGACACGTAAGCCAAATGTTAGTCATACGTGGTTGGAATTTTTAAAAAAAAAAAAAAAAAAAAAAAAAAGATGTGTTTTGATCTTCTATATCATGGTCTAATATCTTTATCATGCTAAGAAACACAAAGAGTATGATTTTTTTTGTATTTATAAAAAAAATTTAACTTTCAGAAAAAAGGCTGCAGAGCAATGAGCTTCTTAAAAGTCCTCAAATTTTTAAACTAATAAAATCTTGTTTCTATAGGTAATCAATAGCATGAAGGCATATATATTTAAAATTTTGTGTTTGTGAGTTGTATATTTTAAGAAAAAAAATGTTTGGTGGCTTACAGTTAGTTGTCTTACCAATACCCCAACTAGTTTTCTGTATAAGAAAGAAACCATAACTAGACACAACAACCATCCCAAATGTGATTGATGTGACAAAACCTCATTCAGTCTTTGTTTAACATCTGCCCTACCAGAAGTAAAGTTTATTTTTCCACCACTTATAGTCTTTTGGCAACAGCTTGTTTTTCAAAGTGCCATCCGTGTTACCGTTGACTGACAACTCTAGACCAAAAACCCCACAAGTCTGCAGCTTTCTCTCCAGACAGGATGTGTAGCGGTTATCTATTGAAAGTAGCGGTAAAACCCTACTCTCTGATTTTGATGTTTCATTTCAACATTTGTGTGTTTTGAGATGACTACTCTTTCTCATCTATAATATGATGCATTCAACTGTAAATTGAGGTCCTACACAATGCACAGCTCAGTCTTCGGTGCCACGCTCTATGAACTGAACTTATGATTTTTGTTGTCCCTCCCCCATCAGGCTTCTCCCTGCATTATCGAAATTCACGACTCTACGACTGAATGCGAGGAAGAAACGGGGCCCAGTAAGGTGCCAATGGAGGAGAAAGCATTTGTAGCAAGTTTGCACTGTTTTATGAAAGAAAAGGGCACACCCATAGAAAGGATTCCCCATCTTGGCTTTAAACAGAGTGAGTAGATCTTAATTATCAAGATTCATTATTCACACAAAGTTTGCATTAAAATATGTTGGTTCTGATGCATTTTTTAATTTTTTTTTATTTCTAGTTGATCTCTGGATGATCTACAAAGCTGTTGAGAAACTCGGGGGATATGAATCAGTGAGTAATATGTTGCTTATTTGTTTTGTAGTGGCTCCGTGTTCACTGGTTTGCGTTGGAAAACACCTAATTGGTCATGCTATGATGCTGAAACATGGTCACAATGGAACCACAATGGGGGGAGGGGAGGTGGGACAACATATCTGTCTATGCTCTCAGAATATTATGTTCTTTTTGGTGTCGCCGCATTCGGGTGAGTACCGAGAGTGAAACTCGCATGTACGTGGAACCAAACTGGGCTAAAGTTGACCACCGACCCTTTGCTCCAGGGGTGTAAACACAACAACAGGAGGCCACTCACATTTGCTCAATCTGAAAAAATAAAAGTGTTCTTTCAGGAAAGTGAGCCAACTGACGTGGCTTTTGAAGAATGGCCAGCCACCACCTTCCTGTGAGACGTTTTTAAAATAGCTCTGAAAGCAAGCGCGTATACCAAAACGCCCAAACACAGGATGCATGATTGAATTACTACATTACAAAATGCCGGTACAGTTGGAAATTATCGCAAGCCTCAATTTGATGGCCAGGCTATTATTTGCTCTAAATGAATGCATATCTTTACACGATGTTTCAGGATTCCGATAAAAGAGTTAGCAAGCAGTTATCACCTTACCTGGACTGTATAACTCCCCTGGAGTATTCATGGACATAAATCCAGATTAGTTTGTCCCAGCAAACTGAAGCTTAAAGCCGTTCCAAGAGTAATTGAGATGAAAGTAAATTTCTGCCATCTTAAAACAGCTCTCTTCATAAAAAGGTACTTCTTTATTTGAAATTATTATAACACAGAAAATAACAGAAGAGGGTTGTACAGAACAGGTTTATGTATAGAGTTTAAGAAAAGAGTTATTGTCCAATATAAAAGTAGAGTGGCGTATATTTCTGCACTTGAGATTAACGTTATCATTATCATTATTTTCATATGCTGCCTTACTTTTTATTAAGCTGATCAGAACCTTTAGCTGTACTGCTCCCAGTAAGTGTTTCAGACGGGAATATGAGCTACGGTGCACCGCCTCCTACCGCCTAGCAAAATGATGCTTTAAAAGCCCATACAATAGAGCTAGCATCACTAACTGTTAGGTTTTTGAGACCACATGCATAAATTAAGAACGTGTTTATGTTAATAAAAACTCACAATGTTTCTGATCAAAGACTTCATCTTCCTCGTTGTGCTGATCAACAGGTGACAACTGGACGCCTTTGGAAGAAAGTCTACGACGAGCTTGGAGGAAGCCCAGGTAGCACCAGCGCTGCTACCTGCACTCGGAGACACTATGAGAGGTGAGGAGGATTCATGTAGGTGGTCAATGAATTAAGAAAAAAAAAAGACATTTGTAAACCTGACATCCAATGTCCGTACGACAGGTTGGTGCTGCCGTTTGAGAGGCACATAAAAGGGGAGGACGACAAACCTCTACCTCCAAGCAAACCGCGGAAGCCATACAAGAGGAATCAGGAGGGCAAAGTGAACAAGATTGACGGAAAGAGGAAGAGGAGTCATTCTGAGAGAGAAATGGATTCCGAGGTAAAGAGCAGACGGTGTTGTTTAAAATCTAAAAATAAAAAAAGTTCATATCAACATGTGAGTAACAAAATGTTCCCTGTCTTATTTTGAAGTTACCCCAAAGAAGCCAAGATGTGGTCTGCCAAAGTGAATCAATGATGAGTCCTCATTTCGCCCTCTGGCCTCCCAGCTCTGACAGACGCCACCCGGAGCGACCTCAACCGAGCAGAACCGCTGGAGATTTCTGCCCCCCTGTAAACGGCCACGTCCTGCAGGCTCCCAACAACTGGATTCCTCATCTTCCCTCTGTTACTGGAGAGGTCATCTCTCCTCTGGAGAAGAAGAAGCGAATGGCTCAGGCCAGCCTCAGTGTGCCGCTGAGCTCCCAGAGAGAGGACAAGGAGAGGCCTTCAGTCATCCACTGCTCCCAGTCTCCAGCCAGGGCTTCTTCCAGCAGAAACTGCAATTCCTCTGAAGGCTCTCCATTGCCCTTATCCTCCTCCTCTTCGCGCAGTCCTTCCCCCCTTTCCGTTTCCTCAGAAGAATCTCCAGCAGGCAGTGGGGACAAACCCAGACCCAGCTCAACGTCGGCCGAGAACTGTTCGATCGCAGCCAAAGTGCAAGAGGACAACAAACCCGTGAGCTGCGATCAGCCGGCTACAAACACGTCGGCACAGAAGAAAGACGCGCCTCTCGTCAGCTCCCAAACGCTGACTACTGACTCTGTAAAAAGCCAAAGAAAAGACTCAGCCTGGAACCCTTACCACAAAGTTCACGGCAAATATTTCGCAAACCCTTTCCACTCACCGCCTTCCTTCTCGCATTCTACCTCCAGCTTCACCAAAGTCACTCCCAAATCCGTGCAGCTGCTGCGGCCTTCTCCCATTCGGCCAGGTTACAAACTTCTCCACAGCAGGCTGCTCCAGACGGACAACTCTCTGCCTTTCACCAAGAAGCTGGGCGGCGTGACCCCGTGGTCTTACCCGACAGAGAAGAGGGACAGGTCAAGGACGGTGCAGCAGAAAGTTCCTCCCAGTCAGCAGGGATTGTCTCAGTCCGCCACTGCCCTGCCGGCGTCGTGCGTCCTGTCCAGTTACGACAAATCGGCGAGAGACTCCCGGCACCATCAGCCATTATACCCGGCGCTCCTTCCCCACAGAATGAGACTCCCTCCCTCCCAGCTAATGTACCACTCTATGCCAGTCGGTCCGAGTCACTCGGCTCTCATCGGTCCGGCCGTTTACCCGTACCCTTACGCCATTCCTCTGCTAAGTCCACAAGTCGGATACCCGCTACCTGCCATGAGTTCGGTTTATCCTCACAAGCTTTGAGGAGGACAATTGAACATGTTAGAGTATCTTTCAAACTAGAAGAGAGAAAATCAGGGAGGTATTATGAGTCAAACAAAACCACTAGAAATGCAACAATTATCCACAGCTGCTAAGACCAAGGCCACTTGAATCTGTATCGTGTAAATGTGAAACTGCGTTATTTTCATCCTGTCTTTGTGTTCCCCCACAAAGTTCTACTTTATTATACATTAAAATAAAAGTCATATTTTTTCAGCCAATTCACACATCCGGAAAAGTTTAGTATTTAAAGGGGTTAGTTTATCCACAGCATCAGCCTTACCTCATTAACGTTTGATTGCACTGTTTCAGTTCTTGTTCTTAAATAAAAATAAAATAAAAAAAAGCAACTCTGCTGTTGTTTTTAGTACTGTAAAGTCAGAACAGTAAACAATGTGGTCGCTCTTTTTGTTTTTTTGTACCTTTTATCAGTGTTAAATATCTTGTAAAAAAAAAAAGAAAAAAAATGTCTTTGCCGTTGTCAAAATGTATTTAAAAAAGAAAGTGAAAAGAAAGAAATAAACAAAAATCTTTAAAAACAGTTTTCTTTTTTTTTTTTTTATTTGCTGATTTTTGTTCAGTTTTTTAACAGGGCCCATTTATTTGCTGTTCCCGTTGTAGCTTTTGTTTCTGCTAACACATTTTTTACTCTTTGTTTTGAGTTCTGTCTGTTGAACAAAAACACCCTGCAGCGCAGAGTTTACGACACGCCGCTGTGGTCTGTCATGCTGAGCGTCACTGCTGTGGCATGGGCAAGGTGGAAGTAAGTTCGTCGGTGGTGAAAATAACAAAGAATTCTTAGGCAAGAGCAATGAGGAGGAAATAGAAAGAGGAAATCACACAAATGAGATTATGCTGCAAGCCACAATGTGGTCTAAAACAGCTGGAAGTAGTGGAGCAGATAACAGAAATTCTTGTAAATGTAAAGTAAAACTGAGAAGGAAAAAAAAAAACAATGTCACGTTCAGGCCCAGGAAGTATTGTGGATGTGAAAATATTTTCGCGCGCTGAGGATTAAAATTCATTTTCAGTTCGCCTGACTGCGCAGGAGTTCAGAATGTTAGAAAATTAGTGAAATGTGATGTCATGGTTTATATTGTTATGAGGGTAGAAAAATGCCTTTCCTTTCAATCTCTAAGACTCTTGTCTATTTACTTCTGCCTTTACTGTCTAATTTGGGTGTGATAATTAAGGGCAGTAACTTTAGCAGTCCAAATGATTTTCCAATGACAAGGCTGACATTCAGAGTATAAATGCATGCTACAACTACAGTTTTAAAGTTCCTTTGAATTTTGTACTGTGCAGTGAATAAAATGCAAAGGACAATTAGATTGTTAGAAACTATTTTGTAAGCTAACTCCATAAACCATACATTCCTTTCACAGAGCTCTGAATTCCCATGTGAAATTTGTTTCCATCCTAAGGTAAACTTCATTCTATAACATATTCCCCTGTCATGGACTGGCAATCTGTATGAGATTTACTCTGCCTTCTGATCACGCACAAATCCCCAACAAGGAGACACAGGTATAGACAACAGACTGATGCTTTATATTATGTTTTGTAAACCTCAGTTTATTTTAAGTGATAAATTTCTCAAGCAGAGTCAACACTGAATGCGAAGCTGAGAAAATCAGTTTTCAAGTGTTGCCGCAGTTATTATCAATTGGATCAAGCCGCTGTAACATTTACCGTTGGTACATTTCGCAAAAGTAAAAGTCTGAATTTTACTTTGTGGCACTTGGTTACCAGTAAACACACTCATCTCTTAGCAACAGATTAGCAACAAAAATGGTTATTGTTCAAAAAACATAAGATTTCTTCTGCTCTTTTGAAATGCTACTTAAGTATTTTACACTAACAAGAATTGTGTAGTTGGTGAATTTTGCAGAAAAGTTAATTATTTTTGTCATTGGTATAAGATATATTATAAAACACATTCAACACAAAA